TGCAAGGGTGTTCGTCAACAACAGAGGAAAAGTGCTTACTGATAAATCGGCAATTTCTCGCCACTACCTTGATAAGCTCGCAAAACGTTTAGCATAACCACCTTTGTCTATGATTTTATAATAAAATACGACTACGTTTTCGAAAAATGACATTTTGTTTTCTAAGCACAATGACAAGAGCGGTTGCAGGTAGGACAGACTTTCGCAGGCGCACGCTTCATGTTGAAGAAATCATCTCGATCGACATGAGGGTTGTCGTTCCATGAAATAAGGTACTTGACGATGGTCAAGTGCGTAAATTCTTGACTCCAGCCCCCCCATTCACAGATTTGACGCAAAGGCCATCGACGCTCAACCGATAACCACTGGCATCCACCGCGTCTAAACGAGTGAGTTCCGTAGGGAACAAAATCAACCCCCACATCGAGCAAGTTGTTTCGAAACATCTCCAGGAATTGTTCCGATGTCTGAAGCTCATAAGAAAGTAGAACGATACAGTGTGCAACTACTCACCATAGGTTCATTTTCTTCAGCAATACGATCATTGGCACGGATTTTTCGGAAGAGATATCCTTCGGTCAAGCCTGATGCAAGAATCCATCGAGCAAATGCACGCACAACACATATGTGCTGATATTCGTCTGGCATTTCATAGAACACAAACGGTTTGATGTCTGAAAATATTAAGATGCAGTACATTGAACTATCACTGCGTAAGACATGTTACTCACCTCCGAACTGGCTAGTCTTGCGAAAGGGAAGCTGTAAACTGAGTTTACTTTCCCCAGTCAGAGGGTTCTCGGTCAACGTCAAATCTTGCAGCTGGATTTTCAGGAGCTCATCGACACGGAGTAGACCACAAAAGGCTAAGCTGTAGCCAAGGTCCATTGATGCACGTGAATGAGGGCCTAGTTCGCCTTTGCGAGCTGGTTGAAAACTGCTTTGGAACGTCTGAGGAACTTGATATCGAGGCTGACTATTGAAGTGGTAAAGATCCTCCAATAAGTCCTAGAAGTTGGGTGAATATTAATTTCCAAGTTCTGATAAGAAATGTTTACAGAAGACACAGCTCGAGCACTAATGGGAGTATCCCCCTTCTGCGTCTGATAATTTATTGTGTCATCAAATGATGATATATGCAGTACAAATGAAAACCTTACCTTGCGGCGGCGAAGACTAAGCATGTAAGTAGAAACCGTCTCGGAGACTGAAGGGTTACCCAGCATCTTGCCCGAAATTTCGCTTTGGTGCCATGCCTGCATCCCTAAGCCGTGTATTTTTCCGAACCCAAATGTTGCAGCAGCTCTCATCTTCTGTGCATGTGTGTAGGTGGAGCGTTCCTCCAACACAGGGGTACCGTCGAGCTTGATAAGGTCACACCTACAAGATTTGGTGAGCCCTACTCAAACATAAAAGCTGCAAGTTGCCCTACGAATCCATGATCCAAGCTACAATGTATATTGCAGCTTGAGGGTGTGGGTTGTCGGAGAAGAATTGGGACCCTTCGGAGACCATTCCATGCTCTACAAGGAATGCTTGACATTGTTTCATCAAGCTGAAAGATATTAGCTGTTATTTGTATTCACTGTGTTGCACTTACCGTAAATATTCTTGAGAGGTTTTCTCAGAGACACCTTTTGAGGCTTCCCGAACAGCATCACCAAGACCAGACATATCGACTTCGAGCTGGTCATGGCTTTCCTCTAAATCGTCTAGGACATCGGCTGGATCCAAATGTTTATCTTGTGTGATTGTTTTCAGCAGCCCGGTGTAGCCTTCATCGGTTGAGATGTCGACGCTCATGGCAGTAGAATGGCAAAAGAAAAAGGGGGGAATGTCGACTTTTATAGGAGCTCTTATCAAGGCTGTGTAGCTGCAACTCAGCAAGAACTCGGTTAGCCTTCCCTGCAATACAAGAGTAGGTATAGCAGCAGAAGGTTTATTTTCTTCGTCTTGCACTTATCTCAAAAAACATGAGGAATACATGCGATTATATTTGTGTGATCAAGATACATTTCTATGGAATTACTGGCGACGGGCACGTTTAGATGGATGTAGTGTTTCAGAAGACTCCTCAAGGTCCGAAAGGTCACTTACTTCATCCAGGCCAGCTGCAGTACGAGCTGTACCCCTCCAATCACCCCTGCAAAGGTCTGCCCATCGCGTGAATTTCTGCAGGCTTAATCTCCACCGTGACGCCCGCGCTGCTTCCCGTTCTGCCCGTTCTTCAGCAGTAGCCTTTTCTAAGAACGATTTGTCTGGTTGAAAGCCGTTGTTGCGCCATCGGAAAAGACCGCCGGAGGAGTACTGTATCATTGCATAGCGGGTCTCATGTGCTTGGATGGGAATAGTAGAGTGGGTGATAAGTGCAGAGGGAAAGAGGATTGTGGAACCGGGAGGAAAGCGGATAATGAGCCCGAGGTCCCAGAGTACAAGGTGCCCACCTTTGTCAGGGTCAAAGGGTCCCATGTTAGTGTCAGCGCACCAGCTAGAGGCGCGGTTATCGGGGTCCATGTGAGGTGGAGAAAATGAGAGGGGGCCCAGGTTGAAGGTGGCAGCGGCAAATGCAGTGTTTGGGAAGTTAGCTTGCAGCTCTGGCTGCTTGCATTGAATTTCGTTGTTCGTATCTCTATGTTCTATATAATTTTTGTGACAGAACGTGTTGAAGAGAGCTAGTAAGAGCTCCGTTAATATCCAAACTGACGAAAAAGAAAAAATATCAGACCGTTTTGGAAACCTGAGATGCGCCGGATGGCTTTGTTTCGAAGAAGCTCTTGCATGGCGTTCCGATTAGCCTGACTGGAAACTCTGTAGTTCTGCGGTTTGCGCCGCCCGTTACCATAGCCGTAGCCAACTGTTCGAGAAGCAAAATTGCCACGCCGGCCATGTCTCTGTGCCTTGGTGAACGTACTGGCTTCACGGCAACGAATAGCAGCAGCAGCAGCATCAGCTTCCACTGCCTGCCATTCTTTCCCCTTGGATCCGTGAGGAACGCCGCCAAGGACTGCGATGATTCGGTCTCCAGCGTCAACAAGCACAATGCAACTCCTGAAAAGGCATTAGTGATAGGCGTGTGTTTAAAAGAAACAACACACGCACTGTCCATCCCATCGAAGAAGCTTCAGCCCACTCAGCGAGCTCAGGGCATCCAGGTTTTTCCAAACCCTCTGCAGTCCAGGGGAGAGCTTTTTGCGAGGGTTAGCGTTCCAGCCGCTTGACGAGACTGGGAGACTGGAGGCGTCGAAGTCTTCGAGTTCAATGGGCTGAGCTCCTTTAGCTAACTCAACGACAAAGGGCTTTATGCGCCTGCTCGCAACACGTTCAACAGCTTCAGTGGCCCGTTTTTTGCGCGAACGTTTCGTCAGCTTCGCATACTTCTTGTTATTCCGAGATGATGAGGGAGGGCTGCCGGAAGGATTGGTCGTGAAAGCCGGTTCCGCGCAGGCCTCTTTGTCGTCTTCCTGGTCCTTGTCCTCGTCCTCATCCTTGCCCTTATCCTCGTCCTCGTTCTCATCCTCGCCCTCAAACTCTATCTCTCCATCCTCTAAGAGCTCCCCAGCATCTTCAGCAGCCATCCGCGCGTTGTTGTCGGCCTCGAGAGCAGAAGATAGGTTAAAAGAAGGGAATTTTATGCGAGCGGTGGGAACGGTGTGGCCTGTGCGTAAAAGTGAGTTCAAGTCGCGTCAATTGGAAGGATCAAAGGGAAGGGGCTTTTATTTGAGGTGACGGTGTCTTTAAGCGTAACCTAGAACGAATTTTCAGCCAACAGAGCCTTGCCTAGATGATGGGCTGGGCGTCCGTTGGCTAGAAGATTCGGACTAGGGGCAGAAGGAGGAGGTGTGGTAATGAGAGAAAGTGCTCACCTAAATCGGAGGCCATTTTGTAAGAGTAACTGTTGGTGGTGATGGAAGGTGTAAGGAAGATCAAGACGAGGGAAAGACAATCAACAGAGACGCGTGATGGCGGTTAAGCGCGCGCGGTCTGCCGTATTCCGTTTAAGCGCGCAGTCTGTTGTGTTCCGTTTAAGTGCGCGCTGCAGTTGTTATTCTACATTTTTCCCAGCTGCCCCAATGAAAGCTCTACCTCCAAGCAAGCTTTGAAAACTTCCCATGCCCAGAACCGTATTGGTAGCTCCAGCCTTTTTCAAACGTATATGGATCAAACGGGAACCCCATAAGCATTGTTCCTCCTCATTCTACCTCGGACCTCAGCCAAACCTGCTTCAATCCTCCATATACCTCTGCGACTTCTTCACCAATATCCGCTTTTTCTGCAATGCGATTGGGAGCCGTCCAAACAACGCCCACAATCAACACCACAGCTGCCTAGAGATGTCCAAGTTCGTGACAAGCACAGGTCCCCTGGTCTGTGCGTAGACTCTTTCTCCATCGCTTCATCTCAGACTGATAGGCAATAGGTCGTCAGGTTAAGCACAACGTCCTCAGGACATCCCTCCAGTTTTCTTTACCATTTCCTGTACCGCCGTTCCCAAAACAATTTCGGTCAACCTCAAAGAGAAGTTGTCGAGCTCAATCTCCATCCATTCGCACCCCATCTCCATCTTTTTTTGCCACAGAAGTTCACACCGAACGTAACTCGGTTCCTGGTCCTAGCAAACCCGTACCCGCGAAGTTCTTTGATGCCCCAGAGCTTCCGGGAACGCCTTCCGACGGCGCTTTGTTTTGGAAGCCAATTGTTCAGCCCTGTATCTCGGAAACTGTTCAAGTGGGCGACCCCTTCAAGGACGAAACAGAACCGGCTGGCCGGTTCATCGAAGTGTCCAAAGATAAACCCACGCATGCTTTATATTGGAACAGGCGCCATCCGATTTACAGCTTTCTTCAAGAGCAAAGGACCATTTTCGACGCCGGTGCCTCTACCTCACCCTCTTCCTCCACCACTACTACGCCCATGCCGAGCCTTCTTAGCAATGCTTAACCTTGTGTTAAAGTTTGCTCATGGCCCTGCCGTCGCTCAAAGGATACACTGTGCCAGATGTCATGAGGGCAGGTTCTGCGTTCTCCGAAGGTCGGTGTTTACGTTCTGGCGCAGGCCCTCTGGTTCCTGATCCTGCTCGCTCGCTTTGGCAGGTTCTCCGCCTGGTGATGGTACGGCACAACCGCCTTGCTTCAAGCATAGCTACAACGGATGGGTATACTGCTATTGCTGTTCTGTTTGGAATACCTTCGCGACACGGAGTGGAATAGCACCTTCGTGCCCTTCTTGGATGTGGGCCACACTTTTTGGAAATCAAGAATTGTCTACTGAATTATCGATTATTCTGTCCTATGCATATTCAATTGCGTTGTTGTATTTGGCTGATCTTTCTCTTCGTTAATCTTTGTTCTCCTATGCAATAGATACACCGAAACCATGTACTGCATTGAATTGAATGTTCACCTACAAACCATTGACTCCTTTCTCTAACACGTACCGAGATTTCTTACTGCTGACTTTATTTGGTGCTATTTATAAGCACCCCTATTGCAAAATTACACCTCGTTCTCTACCGCTATCATTACTTTTGCTATGGGAGTCAGAAATCTTTGGCCTGTGGGTTTACCACTACTGTTGAAAGCATCAGGACTGACTATTTTGCAGCTTGTCGATGGTGCTGCTGTGACTATCAAATTGAGAGACTTCATGGTGGATAATGGATTTATTACGGATCACTATCGTTTGCGTACTACATTGATTGGTGTAGATATTAGGTGAGTGCAGGCATTCTATATGAGCAAACTTTTCAATTCAATGTGGACTAGCATCTTTCTTGATGCTTTCTGCGCTGCTGATAGGGCAGTAAATCAAATGCATGCAACCACCTCTCCGCTTTCTCAGCTATTCAAGTTTTTATGTTACTTATCGCAAGCGGGTGTCCATGGTATCTTTGTCTATGATGGGAAGAGCGCTCCCGAATTAAGCGAGGCCGCCAGGTTATCACGAGGGAACCGGGCTACTATACACAAGCTAGAGTTCTGATAGAGGCGTTTGGTTACTATGCTCACACTGTAAGTATACAGATAATGGAAGGTATATTCTTGACACTAAACTCACGCAGGCTCCTGGTGAAGCTGATGCTGAACTAGCAGAGATGTGCAAAAGGGGCCTTGTTGATGCTGTTTTTACTAAGGATAGCGATCTTCTTCCCTTTGGCGCTCCTCGCATCTTCCGACCCCTGCGCATGTGAGTGCTGTACAACAGGATCATATGTATCTATCAAATTGCTCACATAGAATTATAGAGATCATAAGCCCCGGAATTTCAAGGACTTCGAAACAGTTCTCATGTACAACGCCGAGTCAATTGAATCACATCTAGAACTTTCGCATGCTGGTCTCATCTTGATCTCCCCTACTCTTGAAAAATGACTACAGCGACGGTGTGAATGGCATCGGCTCTGAAACAGCAGCAGGTCTTGCCAAATGTGGATATGGAGACGATCTTCTCAACGCCCACAGATCCTTTTCTACAATGCCTCAGCAACTTGCAGAGGCCTTGGCCGACTCAATAACAATATGGCGGACGAAATCGAATTCAATACTCATCACAAGCTCAGATATCGTAGCCCTTACAAGGCAAACGTGCTCCGCATATCCCAATTCCCATCACTTAGAGATCTATCAGCCCTCACGGCATTTCTGGAACCTGTCACCAGCTGGTCCCGTTCCATGGACCATTCAAGAGCACCGAGCGCCTCGAAATGGCCACCCCGAACACCCGACATAATGGAAATCACCAAATTCTGTCGTTACAATTTTGGTTGGCCTGACAAACATGCGCTCAAGAGATTTCACATTGACCTATGGCCAGCAGTCATCATGCGAATGTTAAGCTCTGTATGTTATTCATTCAATCTGTTGGTATCATGGACAATATAATTTATGGTCGGCTAGAAATTTCTCTTCGTTTCAAAGAGAAAGAAGCCGAAATTCTAGTTCCTCGGCTGCAGAGTTCATTTGCTGTTGATGCGAATGGAAAATCTTATCCGTCTATGCTTTCTACAACAGTTTGCAATAAAAACTCACTGCGGCTACAAGGAATGAGAGCGAATGACATCGTTTCAACTACATTCACTACGGAATTCTTTCTCCAGCTCACTGGTCTTACTAGCTCAGCCTCCGAAACTTCCAGGCGAGTTGACGTCCCTGCCGCAATGATCGCAGTAGCTTTGCAGCAAAGTCATCTTATCCGTGGTTTGAATGAACGTCTTGGTGAGTTGTCAACTCTATCACTTGTTCTGGAGTTGAATGGGCAGCTTACCTTTAGGTCCGCCTCCGTCTCATGTTATTCATGTTGAAATTGACATCTTTGAGCGCAGTAATGCATCTGGCAAGTTGATTATTTGTCTTCGAGACTCATTGGCAGGAAATACTGATCACATATTCAACAGGGAGTGGTCAGAATCACCAGGAAACCCCCACAAAGCGCAAGCATGCTGGAACAACCTTAAATGAGAGAGATGAGCACAAACGCCTGCGTCCAATGCTTAAGGACCTCGGAACGGTTGAACTGACTGATAGCGAAGATTAAATATGTCCTTGAAGCAGCAATTGTGATCATTATATGTATGTAAAATTTTTCGTCGTAGAAATAATGTAAGACAGAATATATGATATTGTGACTACCATATTCTGAGAAAGGCAAAATCAAGCAAGGAATAGTAGATGTTCAATCTGTGTTCAATTATACTAGTCGAGGTGCGCTAAACAATCAACACTTCACTGACATCGTCTTTTTTTCCAGTCAACAAAGCTTCGTATTTTTTCAAGCTTGGTGATTTTGATTAAGAGACGAAATTGTCAGGGTTCAGCAAATAAAAAGACCATTCCACAATAATAGAGGAGACGATTCTCGGCTATACAGCCAAGATAACAGTTCCCTGTTTCCGATATTCAAAGATTCAGTGTTACATACATGCGGCTAACTATCATACAGTAGATTCATCCATCCATGTGGCTAGCTAAGTATCATACAGCAGATTATCCCCTCGCACATTGACAGTTCGTTTCCTCACACTCTTGCTCCTCTACCACTCTGCGTACTCTTGTTCCTCTACTGCTCTGCCTGCTCCAGCCAAACATCTGAGTCCCTCTTCACAAACCAAAACTCATACAGAAGGACAATCATAGAAGTGCAATGGAAACAGAAAATCAGTGAGTCCCTACAGAACTTCAAGAACTTCGGGCTGCATCTCTTCAATTCATTTCTTCGTCATATTTTTTTCACACTGATAATTTTTGTTATATTCACATATTCACATACCCGTTTTGCTACACTCTGTGTAATTCATACCGAACTGGAGGAGGAGGAGGAGACGGAAGCATTGAACATCGGGACGTTTTGCTTCCGCCTGTTCATTGCTTCCACCGCCGTCGATTGCCCGCTCGTTGGCCGGAGCGCGTGGATCCGTCGGGTGATGCAGTGCAGTCCCTAAAGGGGACCTGTCATTACGCATCAGGTCACATCTCGTTATGATCCGTTACGAGATGTGACCCGCATGGTCTTTTCTGTTGGTCTCAATTACACTTCTCTCTGAGTATAGACCATGTAGTCACGCCCGGATGACAGGCCCGGGTGAATTTGATCGGATTTGGACGATGCTGATTTCGGCCGAATTAGCATCGTCCCTCTCAATTACAATCACGTTACTCTTTATTTCCGTTCTCACCATGGGTTGGCCGTCGTTTCGCCTTTCCCTCTCTTTATATTTACCTCCGTTAACGCTATTAACACTCGGCGTCCCTGGCAGCTCGATCAGCAATGGCGCTGTTGCCGCCGCCGGCTCCCTCTCTTCCCTCATCGCCGCCTTCAACGACCTCGATCCAGAATACCTCGCAGTTGTCCGCACCACCCTAGACTCACAAGAACTCGCGCTTTCTCTTCTCGAAATGCAGTGCCAACAAGCCCTCGACGCTATGGATATCGACGGTCCGAGTGCTGACTCTCCTACGGCTCTTCCCAGTGAAGAAATTGAGATAGATGGCCAAAAGTTCAAAATTGTCTATCCATCTGAGCCTCAGCCTTCCGACACTCTCGTGCTTCCTGGCAGTTATGAAAAAGATACTGGTGTGTTCCATGCAACATACAGAGACCTGTGCACCCTCTTGTTCTTATCTTGCCCTGCTATATTCACTGATCTATGAATTTCTAGCAACACTTTGAAACGCTCAGGGCTCATCGAAATCTGCAAGAAATACGAGCTGGGTACCCAAGGTAATATGCGGGTCTTGAAAGAAAAACTCATTGGGTTTAGTGAGAATAAAATACGTTGGCAATGGTATGTCTTTCAAAATTGTAGAATCACGTTTGTTTAACCTTTCCTCTCAGTCTCGTTCCTGTTGCTCGACGCGCTCATCGTGGAGTACGTAGCGGAGGTATCACCAAGAATAAGCTCGCGAACAAAGAAGGCCCTGCTGCTATCTCGTCCAAAGCCAAGAAGCTCAAACTTTCGACGGTGCGAAGGAATGAGATGATGGGACTGCCCCCAGATGCCCCGCTTGGTGCTCAGCTGTCTGATACCAAACGCTCGAAAGACATGCGTACACTGGAACAGAAGAACAGGCTTCTTAGCTGGGTGAGTCTTTCTCGATGTTTCAAAGACTTGCTGACCATTCGTATGTAAACACATCTAGGCAAAGACATTCTGTGACAAGCATCCGTATGTAACTCGAGAGGAGCTTGCGCGAAGGCGGAAAATCAAAGAGGAGGAGAGGGCGAGAGAGAATGCTACCAGTACAGTACGTAGCTCTTGGCTCTTTCTCTTTTCTCCGTCATTGATTGGTGCTCGAGTATAGGCTAAAGTAGCACAATACATGCACTCAATGATTGAACATGTTTCCAACCTTCGAGTCGAGATTCAAACACTCAAGACCGGGCTTCCACCCCCATCGCTTTTGCAAGCACCTTTGCCTGTTCTTGCACCGCTTTTGACAACTCCTGGTCCGTTCTTCTTTTCTAGGTTCCTTATAGCTAACACATACCTACCTTCCTTCCTTCCTAGCACCGTACAACGTACCCCCATCTTTCAACAGCCCTCCTGACTGCATCACCGCAGCTCATGTACTGCCTTTGGACCTCAGAACAACGAACACCAAATTACAAACACTGGTTGGCAGTACTGCAACAGGCGCATCCCCTGGTTTTGGTAATGCTCGCACCCCTGTCAACAACGGCAATACCTTAAACGACACCTCACCTCAAAACGCCAGTACGTCGAATGCCACTACTAGCAGCACTGCGAGCATCAACGAGCATGAGAAAGTTTACGTGGTCACAGTGGGTTTCGGAAAAATCGTCAGGTATAAGGAACGTGACCTCCGTGAGCCCCCCTCAATTACATTTGCCACCAACATATCCCGGCTGGACCGCGTTTGGGACGATGAGCAGCCTAGTTGGGATCCTGAGGACTGTGGCACGAATTTGCTGAGCATCAACGGGGCGCCGATTGCACTTCGGTATTGGCGGGACGTTTTTAGTGGCAAGAAAAATAGTGTTTGGGCAAGCTTAAAGAAGCTTTGGTCAGAGTGGAAGGTAGATTGCTTTCTTTCAATCATTTCCTTTATTGATATGTTCCCTCTCAACAGTATGTTGCCGAGCGTTACCGTGCTAGCAGCCCCGATGAGTTCTGGAAGGAGTTCTCATTCAGTGACGGCCGACGTTTTCATTGGAAGGCTATCTCTGACCATCTACGTGATCTTCGGAGCAAGCATGAGCAGCAACTGGTCGATAAAGCTAAGGCTGAGTACGGGGCTGATTTTGCAAGGGTATTTGTCAATAATAGAGGAAAGGTACTTACTGATAAATCGGCAATTTCTCGTCATTACCTTGATAAGTTGGCAAACCGTTTGGGATAGTACCTTTATTTTCTTGTCTAATACAGCTATATTTTCAAATAATTGTTTATCTATGATACAACACGACTATGTTTTGTAACGATACGTGTTATTTTCTAAGCACAATGACATGAGCGGTTGCAGGTGGGACAAACTTTCGCAGGTGCACGCTTCATGTTGAAGAAATCGTCTCGATCAACATGAGGGTTGTCGTTCCATGAAATAAGGTACTTGACAATTGTCAAGTGGGTGAATTCTTGACTCCAGCCACCCCATTCACAAATTTGACGCAAAGGCCATCGACGCTCAACCGATAACCACTGGCATCCACCGCGTCTGAACGAGTGAGTTCCGTAGGGAACAAAATCAACTCCCACGTCCAGCAGGTTGTTGCGGAACATCTCCAGAAACTGTTCTGATGTCTGTAGCTCATTAGAAAGTGTAACGTTACATTGTATAAATACTCACCATTGGTTCATTCTCTTCAGCGATACGGTCGTTGGCACGAATTTTCCGAAAGAGATATCCATCGGTTAGACCAGAAGCAAGAATCCATCGAGCGAATGCGCGTACAACACAAATGTGCTGATATTCATCAGGCATTTCATAGAACACGAACGGTTTGATATCTAAGAATATTTAGACGTGGTGCGTGGAATTATTACTGCATACATATTTGTGTACTCACCTCCAAACTGGCTGGTTTTGCGGAAGGGAAGGTGTAGAGTAAGTTTACTTTCCCCAGTAAGTGAGTTCTCTGACAGTGTCAGATCTTGCAACTGTATCTTCAGCAGTTCATCGACACGGAGTAGACTGCAAAAGGCTAAACTGTAGCCAAGGATCATCGATGCGCGTGCACGAGGACCTAGTTCACCTTTGCGAGCTGGTTGAAAACTACTTTGGAACGTTTGAGAGCCTTGATATCGAGGCTGACTATTGAAATGGTAGAGATCCTCAAGTAAGTCCTATGTATTGAGCTGAGTTTCATTTCCACCTTCCAAGACATTTACTTACAGACGACACAGCTCGAGCACTAATTGGAGTATCCCCCTTCTGCGTCTGATGATTTAATGAATATCAAATAGTGATATGGTGTACAAATTTAAACCTTACCTTTCGACGACGAAGACTGAGCATGTAAGTAGAAACCGTCTCAGAGACTGAAGGGTTCCCCAGCATCTTGCCGGAAACTTCACTTTGGTGCCAGGCCTGCATGCCTAAACCATGGATTTTTCCAAACCCAAAAGTTGCAGCGGCTCGCATCTTTTGAGCATGCGTGTACGTAGATCGTTCCTCTAAGACTGGGGTACCATCGAGCTTGATAAGGTCACATCTACAATAGTCAGTTAGCCATATTCATTCAAAAAACCTGTAAATTGCCCTACGAATCCATGATCCAAGCGACGATGTATATCGCAGCTTGAGAGTGAGGGTTGTCAGAGAAGAATTGAGACCCTTCAGAAATCATTCTGCGTCCTACGAGGAATGCCTGGCACTGCTTCATTAAGCTGAGAGATATTAGATAGTGCTCATGTCCACTATGTTGCACGTACCGAGAATATTCTTGAGATGTTTTCTCGGAAACCCCTTTCGAGACTTCCCGGACTGCATCACTGAGACCAGCCATGTCGACCTCAAGCTGGTCATGGCTTTCCTCTAAATCATCTAGGATATCAGCTGGATCCGATTGTTTATCTTCTGTGATTGTTTTTAAAAGCCCGGTGTAGTCTTCATCAGTTGAGATGTCGATGCTCATGGTAGTAGGAATAGCAAAGGAAAAAAAAAAGGGGGGGGGGGTATTGGAATTTATAGGAGCTCTTACCAATGCTGTGTAGCCACGGCTCAGCGAGAGCTCGGTTCGTCTTCCCTGCAATATGGGCACAACTAGGTATAGCAGCAGAAGGTTTTACGTTTGTTTGTCTTGTGCTTATCTCAAAAAACATGAGGAAAACATGCAGTTATATTTGTATGAATACCAATTCAGATACATTTCTAGGAATTTACTAGCGACGGATGCGTTTAGATGGATGTAATGCTTCTGCAGATTCCTCAAGGTCGGAAAGGTCACTTACATCATCCAGGCCAGCTGCAGTGCGGGCTGTACCCCTCCAATCACCCCTGCAGATATCTGCCCATCTCGTAAATTTTTGAAGGCCTAATTTCCACCGTGACACCCGTGAGGCTTCCCGTTCCGCGCGTTCTTCAGCAGTAGCATGTTCTAAAAATGACTTATCCGACTGAAACCCGTTGTTGCGCCATCGAAAAAGACCACCGGAAGAGTACTGTATCATCACGTAGCGGGCCTCATGTGCTTGGATGGGGATGGTAGAGTGAGTGATAAGCGCAGAGGGAAAAAGAATGGTGGAGCCAGGAGGAAAGCGGATGATGAGCCCCAGGTCCCAAAGCACAAGATGGCCACCTTTGTCAGGGTCGAAGGGTCCCATGGTGGTATCGGCACACCAGCTGGAGGCGCGGTTATCAGGGTCCATGTGAGGCGGTGAAAATGAGAGGGGTCCAAGGTTGAAGGTTGTGGCAGCAAAGGCAGTTTTCGGGAAGTTGGCTCGGAGCTCTGGCTGTTTGTAGAGCAGCTCGTCGTTTGTATCCACGTGTTCAACATAGTTTTTGTGGCAGAAGGTGTTGAAGAGAGCTAGAAAGAATTCCATTGAGGTTCAAGCCAATGAGAAAATAGAGACATAAGACGCACCGTTTTGAAAGCCCGAGATGCGCCGGATCGCCTTGTTCTGAAGAAGCTCTTGTATAGCTTTCTGATTAGCCTTGCCAGAGACTCTATAGTTCTGTGGTTTTCGCCGCCCATTGCCGTAGCCATACCCAACTGTCCGAGAGGCAAAATCTCCGCGTCGACCATGTTTCTGTGCTTCAGTGAAGGTGCTAGATTCACGGCAACGCGTAGCAGCAGCAGTAGCTTCAGCTTCCACTGTCTCCCATTCATTGTCCTTCGCAAAAGGGACGCCACCAAGGACTGCAACAACGCGGTCGTGAGCATCAACAAGCACTATGCAACTCCTGGAAAGACAGGCTTACTTTAAACGCGTGATTGTAAGAAAAAGCATACGCACCTCCCATCCCATCGAAGAAGCTTCAAGCTGTCCAGGGAGCTGAGGACTTCAAGGTTCTTCCAGACCCTTTGAAGCCCAGGGGAGAGCTTTTTGCGAGAATTAGCGTTCCAGCCAGTTGAAGAGACTGGGAGGCTGGAGGCATCGAAGTCTTCGAGCTCAAGGGGCAGAGCTCCTTTAGCCAACTCGACGACGAAGGGTTTAACGCCCCTGCTCATAACGCGTTCAACAGCTTCAGCAGCCCGTTTTGCGCGTGAACGTTTCGTGAGCTTTGCGTATTTCTTGGCCTTCCGGGACACAAAGGGAGGGTTGTTGGAAAGATCAACCGGGGGTGCTGGCCCTGCACAGGCTTCTTCGTCAGTTTCTCCGTCCTCAAACTCTATCTCTCCGTCATCTAAGACTTCTCCAGCATCTTCAGCTGCCATGCGCGCGATGTTGTCGGATTCGAGGGCGGAAGAGAGGTCAAAGGAAGGGAATTTGATGCGAGTGGCGGGAATAGCATCATCTGTGAGCAAGCGTTAGCTTTAATTACTCTGATAGAGAAGGTTGTGGATGAATGGTTGTTGCGTCAAACCACAACGCGTATCAAGACAAACCAGAACAAATTCTCAGCCAACAGAGCCTTGCCTAGATGATGGGCTGGGCGTCTGTTGGCTAGAAGATTCGGACTAGGGGCAGAAGGAGGAGGTGTGGTAATGAGAGAAAGTGCTCACCTAAATCGGAGGCCATTTTGTAAGAGTAACTGTTGGTGGTGATGGAAGGTGTAAGGAAGATCAAGACGAGGGAAAGACAATCAACAGAGACGCGTGATGGCGGTTAAGCGCGCGCGGTCTGCCGTATTCCGTTTAAGCGCGCAGTCTGTTGTGTTCCGTTTAAGTGCGCGCTGCAGTTGTTATTCTACATTTTTCCCAGCTGCCCCAATGAAAGCTCTACCTCCAAGCAAGCTTTGAAAACTTCCCATGCCCAGAACCGTATTGGTAGCTCCAGCCTTTTTCAAACGTATATGGATCAAACGGGAACCCCATAAGCATTGTTCCTCCTCATTCTACCTCGGACCTCAGCCAAACCTGCTTCAATCCTCCATATACCTCTGCGACTTCTTCACCAATATCCGCTTTTTCTGCAATGCGATTGGGAGCCGTCCAAACAACGCCCACAATCAACACCACAGCTGCCTAGAGATGTCCAAGTTCGTGACAAGCACAGGTCCCCTGGTCTGTGCGTAGACTCTTTTCTCCATCGCTTCATCTCAGACTGATAGGCAATAGGTCGTCAGGTTAAGCACAACGTCCTCAGGACATCCCTCCAGTTTTCTTTACCATTTCCTGTACCGCCGTTCCCAAAACAATTTCGGTCAACCTCAAAGAGAAGTTGTCGAGCTCAATCTCCATCCATTCGCACCCCATCTCCATCTTTTTTTGCCACAGAAGTTCACACCGAACGTAACTCGGTTCCTGGTCCTAGCAAACCCGTACCCGCGAAGTTCTTTGATGCCCCAGAGCTTCCGGGAACGCCTTCCGACGGCGCTTTGTTTTGGAAGCCAATTGTTCAGCCCTGTATCTCGGAAACTGTTCAAGTGGGCGACCCCTTCAAGGACGAAACAGAACCGGCTGGCCGGTTCATCGAAGTGTCCAAAGATAAACCCACGCATGCTTTATATTGGAACAGGCGCCATCCGATTTACAGCTTTCTTCAAGAGCAAAGGACCATTTTCGACGCCGGTGCCTCTACCTCACCCTCTTCCTCCACCACTACTACGCCCATGCCGAGCCTTCTTAGCAATGCTTAACCTTGTGTTAAAGTTTGCTCATGGCCCTGCCGTCGCTCAAAGGATACACTGTGCCAGATGTCATGAGGGCAGGTTCTGCGTTCTCCGAAGGTCGGTGTTTACGTTCTGGCGCAGGCCCTCTGGTTCCTGATCCTGCTCGCTCGCTTTGGCAGGTTCTCCGCCTGGTGATGGTACGGCACAACCGCCTTGCTTCAAGCATAGCTACAACGGATGGGTATACTGCTATTGCTGTTCTGTTTGGAATACCTTCGCGACACGGAGTGGAATAGCACCTTCGTGCCCTTCTTGGATGTGGGCCACACTTTTTGGAAATCAAGAATTGTCTACTGAATTATCGATTATTCTGTCCTATGCATATTCAATTGCGTTGTTGTATTTGGCTGATCTTTCTCTTCGTTAATCTTTGTTCTCCTATGCAATAGATACACCGAAACCATGTACTGCATTGAATTGAATGTTCACCTACAAACCATTGACTCCTTTCTCTAACACGTACCGAGATTTCTTACTGCTGACTTTATTTGGTGCTATTTATAAGCACCCCTATTGCAAAATTACACCTCGTTCTCTACCGCTATCATTACTTTTGCTATGGGAGTCAGAAATCTTTGGCCTGTGGGTTTACCACTACTGTTGAAAGCATCAGGACTGACTATTTTGCAGCTTGTCGATGGTGCTGCTGTGACTATCAAATTGAGAGACTTCATGGTGGATAATGGATTTATTACGGATCACTATCGTTTGCGTACTACATTGATTGGTGTAGATATTAGGTGAGTGCAGGCATTCTATATGAGCAAACTTTTCAATTCAATGTGGACTAGCATCTTTCTTGATGCTTTCTGCGCTGCTGATAGGGCAGTAAATCAAATGCATGCAACCACCTCTCCGCTTTCTCAGCTATTCAAGTTTTTATGTTACTTATCGCAAGCGGGTGTCCATGGTATCTTTGTCTATGATGGGGAAGAGCGCTCCCGAATTAAGCGAGGCCGCCAGGTTATCACGAGGGAACCGGGCTACTATACACAAGCTAGAGTTCTGATAGAGGCGTTTGGTTACTATGCTCACACTGTAAGTATACAGATAATGGAAGGTATATTCTTGACACTAAACTCACGCAGGCTCCTGGTGAAGCTGATGCTGAACTAGCAGAGATGTGCAAAAGGGGCCTTGTTGATGCTGTTTTTACTAAGGATAGCGATCTTCTTCCCTTTGGCGCTCCTCGCATCTTCCGACCCCTGCGCATGTGAGTGCTGTACAACAGGATCATATGTATCTATCAAATTGCTCACATAGAATTATAGAGATCATAAGCCCCGGAATTTCAAGGACTTCGAAACAGTTCTCATGTACAACGCCGAGTCAATTGAATCACATCTAGAACTTTCGCATGCTGGTCTCATCTTGATCTCCCTACTCTTGAAAAATGACTACAGCGACGGTGTGAATGGCATCGGCTCTGAAACAGCAGCAGGTCTTGCCAAATGTGGATATGGAGACGATCTTCTCAACGCCCACAGATCCTTTTCTACAATGCCTCAGCAACTTGCAGAGGCCTTTGGCCGACTCAATAACAATATGGCGGACGAAATCGAATTCAATACTCATCACAAGCTCAGATATCGTAGCCCTTACAAGGCAAACGTGCTCCGCATATCCCAATTCCCATCACTTAGAGATCTATCAGCCCTCACGGCATTTCTGGAACCTGTCACCAGCTGGTCCCGTTCCATGGACCATTCAAGAGCACCGAGCGCCTCGAAATGGCCACCCCGAACACCCGACATAATGGAAATCACCAAATTCTGTCGTTACAATTTTGGTTGGCCTGACAAACATGCGCTCAAGAGATTTCACATTGACCTATGGCCAGCAGTCATCATGCGAATGTTAAGCTCTGTATGTTATTCATTCAATCTGTTGGTATCATGGACAATATAATTTATGGTCGGCTAGAAATTTCTTCGTTTCAAAGAGAAAGAAGCCGAGATTCTAGTTCCCCGGCTGCAGGGTACATTTGCGGTTGGCGCAAATGGAAAATCTTATCCATCTATGCTTTCTACCATAGTTCGCAACAAAAACTCACTGCGGCTACGAGGAATGAGAGCAAACGATGCCATTTCGACTACATTTTCTACAGAATTCTTTCTCCAACTCACTGGTCTTGCTAGCTCAGTCTCTGATACTTCCAGGAGAGTTGACGTCCCTGCCGCAATGATCGCAGTAGCATTGCAGCAAAGTGATCAGATCCGTGGACTGAATGAACGTCTTGGTAAGTTGTTCACTATATCAATCGTTCTAGAGTAAAACGGGCAGCTTAATTCTAGGTCCACCTCCGTCGCACATCATCCATGTTGAAATTGAAGTCCTTGAGCGCGGCAATGCATCTGGTAAGATTATCTGTCTTTGAGACGTCAACATGAAATACTGATTGCATCTTCGACAGGGAGTAGTCAGAATCACCAGGAAAACCCCACAAAGCGCAAGCATACTGGCACAAGCTTGAATGATAGAGATGAGCCCAAGCGTCTGCGTCCAATGCTTAAGGACCTCGGAGTGATCGAACTTACTGATAGTGAAGATTAAATATGTCTTCGAGGCAGCAATTGTGATTATTATATGTATGTAAAATTTTCCTTTGTAGAGATATAATGTAAGATAGAATATACAACATCGTATCTACCATATTCTGAGAATTCAATGAATAGCAATAGTGGATTATTGCTCGAGGTGCTCTAACTATAAGCGATTCATTGACATCGTCTTTTTTTCCAGTCAAGAAAGCTTCGTATTTTTTTAAGCTTGGTGATTTTGATAAAGAGACGAAATTGTCAGGGTTCAGCAGACAGAGAGACCATTTCACGACAATAAAGGAGACGATTCACGGCTATACAGCCAAGGTAACCAGTTCCCCGTATCTAATATTCATATTCAGAATTACATACATGCGGCTAACTATTATACAGCAGATTGCATATTGACGTTTCATTTCCTTATACACATCTCCCCTACTGCTCTGTCTGCACCAGCTACACCTCGCTACACCTCCCCCACGAACCTCAAAAGCCTGCTCTGCCTGCCTGCACCAGCTAAACCTCCTCCCTCATAAACCTCAGCGATTGCAATGGAAACAGCCACCCAGTGAGTCCCTGCACGCATGTAGCATAATTGCGGCTCGAAGTTCAAGAACTTCGATGTTTTTCACACCTTCACACAATAGACTGATAAGTTCAGCCTACACTACCGTGCGTGCTGGGGCAGGAGGAGGAGGCGGAAGCATTGAACATCGAATCGTTTTGCTCCCGCCGCCGTCGATTGCCCGCTCGTTGGCCGGAGCGCGTGGATCCGTCGGGTGATGCAGTGCAGTCCCTAAAGGGGACCTGTCATTACGCATCAGGTCACATCCCGTAACGATCCGTTATTTGATGTGACCTTCATGGTCTTTTCCGTTGGTCTCAATTGCACTTCTTGCGTCATTATGTATGTGTACCTGCCGGGGCCACCGGCGCATCGCCCGCTGCAAGTGCTACTGCTGCCGCGTCGTCAGCAAGTGCTACTGCGGCAGCTAATATGGACTCTAGCTCAGGTACTGGTGCTGGGGCTGGGGCCGGTACTAGCGCAGACGGCACAGGAGATGGGTGAGTTGATTGGATGAACATTAATAGTTGTGAGCTCTGACAAAAATGTTCATGTATTCAAAGGTCAATGCGCCGTCGTAGACGTCACTGGAGCTCGAGGGAGCCCAGAGAACAGGAGGATATGGTCGCGAACTAATCCGTGGTTCTCATTCCTTGTGCAAATGTTGTAGATATCGTTAGAATCAGTCAGGCACTGTTCATTTTTCATTGTGTGTTCGCTGCTGTTCACTTGGAAACTGAAGGCGGGGTTATTGCCATTGGCGATGGCTTATGTAACATATAAGTTTCCGTTTCGCTTCCACCGGCCAAGGCGATCAGATCACAGACGGCCGTCGGTATGTGACTTGCTTGGCTGAACGTCGCAGTTTTGGATGCCCAGTCGATGTACACGCCCTTCACTGTCTTTACGGTGCTTCGTGAGGATTAGGAGGAACTGAGGAGCAAGGTCAAGGGATGGTGGCGCTCACTAACCATTTCCTCTATATTTCCGAAGGAGATTCCTATCAGAGCTACAATTAGCTATAAATGGGACGCAGATCAAAAAATTCCCCTCAGGCAGGTCCTCTACATCGTCAACTGCACACTCAACATTCCTTCGACGCCCATCTTTCTCAATACAACTATGAAGTTTAACGCCAGTATCAGTTCCTTCCTACTCGTCACGTACCTCGCTATTACTGTCGACGCTATCGCTTTAGACGAGAAGCTAGCTTGCGGCGCGCCTTGGAATATTGGTCACTCAGAGGGTAGCTCTTGTAAATTTTGGGGGAAGGATGATAACGGAACTCACGTTCATGACGGAAGTGAGTCACCTCTTCAGATCCTATCTATTCAACCGCTGACAGACACCCAAATCTCAGCTTGTCATAAGAGGAGTGGTTTTCATGTAATTCACAGATACAAATGCATCACGACCTCGGTCGATTTGTAAGTGACCTACACCTGTACCGAGTTTTATGTTTGCTAACATCTGCATCGGAAGACAAACTACATGCTGTTAAAAGGCTGCTTCGTTCTCTCCGCACTTGCTTCATGTTGTCGATCATCGTCTTTCGAATTTCCTCCTGTGTCCTCGGTCACCCCGTGAGGTTTTATACGACGTACCTCTGAGAGCTTAGAGAATGCTCAAGAGAGGACGACTATGTTTACGATACGAATGGAGGGATTTGCATCATCTCATACCTGTGTTAACGTTGTTCGACTGATCAGTGATTCAATCAAAGCCTTTCATTTCTTTGTAAGATTGCTAAAAGCTAATCCATAATCACGGCTTGACGAAATCCTTCTGTCTCATATCTGGTCCTAACTCTCGCGACCGATTCCAGTGTTTATCGTTCACCCCTCCACTATGTACGTCAAATGCCTTGGGGGTCTTTTGTTATCCGTTCCGCTCAATCCCCATGTACCACTAGTTCGTCAGATTGCTCTACGATTATCTCGAAATGATAATTCATAGTGCGCAGTGCGTCTCTATGCTGTCCAATCACATCCCAAACCGTCAATATATAGACCATGATGATGTATTGAACCGCCTTCCTTAACTCTGTTCAGGATTTACATTCAAATGCGGATCCGTTCAACCATCAAGAGACATTTGATGGGACTGCGATAATGTAAATTGCATTCAAAAGCATACTCCCCCCAGACGGCTCTCTCGCACCTCACTCACGTCTTACGCTTCAGGGATCCAAGAACATCCAAGAACATCCGAAAGTCCACTCGTCCAATGGTGTCCTTCGAACGCCTTGCAATACTTATCACCCGCAAGACGCTCATGATTAAGATCGCAACTACCAACAGCTAGACCGGAGTTGGGTCTCAGGACTATGTACTTGAATTCGACCTCAGCCAGCCCAGAGTCAGCCCGACAATCAATACCTAATGCAATATGTAGTACATATCAATGGAAGAAAGGTATAAAACAAGTTCACAACTGGACGATAGTTCCCCAGGCTGGTCCTCCACATACACTTCAAGTTACGCATTTGCCCAAAGTTCTCTAGCCTTCTCATATCATGAAGTTCTTCGCCAGCATCAGCTTCTCCCTGATCATCGCGGCCATCGCCATCACCACTGTCGACGCTATTGCTCTAGACGAAAAGCTAGCTTGCGGCGCGCCTTGGAATATCGCTCACACAGAAGGTGCTCCTTGTAAGTTTTGGGGGAAGGATGGGAACGGAACCCATGTTCATGATGGAAGTACGTATACCTAATTGGTATTGAACGAAGGTCAGGAACAAAGAGCTAATACTTCTTTCCCGTAGTTTGCAAGAAGAGAGATGGGTTTCATCTTATCCACAGATTGGAGTGTATCACAACCTCGGTAGACTTGTGAGCAGTGAGCCCAGTCCCATGTGAGGGCCGTTTACTAATATCTACATCCGAAGACAAACTACGTGCTGCTGAGATCTACCACTGTCTCACTTCAAGTTTGAAAAGCTCACTGGGTTATTGGTTCACTCTGCCCCGCCTTTGGAAAAACGTACAGTCAAAAGAATAGGAGAGGAAACTTGGAATTGTAATGCTTGTGTTGTCTTTTTGATATAATGCCAGCGTTGTCGATCTTTGCTGTGGCTTGAATCAATGTTGGCATCTGTCTCCACCGGCACCGAGGTTGCCCGCGTTATTTGACCTTTTGTTCTGCTTGGCGAATTCTCCCTTCACTGTGCAATTCACTGTGCAAATTCTGTAGTCCCTCGCTTTGTGTCACAAAATTGGAATGCCTGATGCAACTCCCTCCTCAGCCTCTCACTGGAATCCACTGCGTTGACGTGTATCAGAAGTCTGTAATCGACTCAAGGCATTGGTCTAAGAAGGGTAGGAAAAAGATGCTGAGTATATTATATACATACGGAAACAAGATCGATACAGCAATAAGAGAAAGAATCCTAGCAATACATCAGTGTGGTGGTACTACAAATGTATCTAAATAAATCATGAAAGTTCGTGATATAAGCTGATAAAGGGCTGTATGAGCCCGTACATAATAGAACGGATAGGATAGGAAGGGACAATGATTTCCAGCGCATCATTGAAAATTTTTCAGAACGTAGAGTGGTCCATCCTTCTCTGAACGTCCCGCAAAGCTTGAACAGCACAGTACTCGAGCTCCGCCAAATCTTCTGAAGGATCTGCCTGAGAAGAACTCGAAATTTTCTGTAATCGGACCTCAACGTTGAGCGACAGAAGAATGTCCGAAATCGTCCGATCTTCCTCCCTTAGTTTGACACACTTCTTCTTATGAGTCCTCCAGTTGGAGTCACCATACTTGATCTTGGTATCCAAACGAATTGTGTGTTCGCATCCTCTGCAGGTGACTGTCCGTGGATGAACGGTGCCCGGGACAATGTCAAGATCTCTCTCCAGTTTCGCCCTCCTCTGATCATCGTTCATCCGTGTGCGCATCGCGGTGGAGGTAGATACTGAAGTTTCGGAGGTAGAAGGCGAGGATGAGGATGAGCAAGAAGAGGAGGTGGAGGAAGAATGTTTCGTATGACTCGTCACTGTACCGGGCAGCTTCTTCAAGGTCTCCGAAGCGGTACAACCAGAGCGAAGACGGCGAGTGTTAGGTATATAGACAGCAGTAACCATCGTCGCAAGTAAATCCGACGGAGGTACGAAAGGGTATGAATTTAAGCGTCTATACAGAAAGGCGAGTTTGGACGGTGGTCCTAGGTTGAGCTTTGTCATTCCGACCACAATTTTATAGCCCTGGGGCCTTTCAGATTTCAGGGTCCTACGACGAGCATCGACTATCTCGTCGATGAGCCAAGCGCAGAATAACGAATCAAGAAGCCAATTGCACCAATTAGGATCCAAAAACCCGTCCATTGTTGTTTTGACCACATGGGCCAGATGGACCGTGCTGTGACAAGTTGGCTAAAACTTTTTGAGAGCTGAACAATGAAAGATTGGCCGCACTGATCGATCGAATGAAGCCAGGCGCCTTTACTTCAATGTGACCTTCATCCTTATCACAGGTGATAATAGTCAAGACATGGCGATATACATAGTCCGTTTGGGCATGATTATGACATTTCTGGCAATACACCGTTCGAACAATCCTATACATCGTCGTATACTTGGATATTGCATGATCCAAAAATTACGAATGATTGCCGTTCAACAGTTTTTGGACGACCGGGATCGTTGAGGATTCCATTCGTTCTGAGTCCATGCATATGACGCTCGAGGGCGGTCCAATTCTGAGGCTTGACGCAATCAGGAAAATCAGGGAAAATTAGACCTTTTCCAGTCATTGATAGTATTTCCAGGATTTTGGAAACTTTTGAGGAGTCAGACTTGCGCTAGCCACGCACGCATTTGTACGACGTACCCCACCACTGCTTGATGGAAGGAAGAAAGAATTAAGTCAAATTAAGCGCCATGGAAACTAGAGTAGCGCCCAATTTTCACGCTTGCTCTGTTCTTCCTACTCTTCTATCCTATCCTATCCTTTTGATAATCATGACTTGTGGGGGCGGTTCCACTACTCTCCCAGCTACTACACTTATGCTAGCCCGAGCTTCTCGCTTTTCACGCCTTTCACGCCGAACTTCTTCGAATTGAGCCAGCCTAATGGCTCTATCGTGGATGAACTTCCCGAAACTTTCTTTCTCTTAGCTCCCAATTGACCGTATGGAAACTCAGATGCTCCGCCGTGGAGACGCTCAGAACTACAATCTATCGAAGATCTGCTACCCAATGGAATGATGTTTACACCGTGATTCACAAAAGACGCGAGAGTCCAGTGAGTAACAATATATATGAAGATTTAGAATTCCTCTACCGTCGCAAGATTGTTTCTATCTCTGGAATCGTATTTCTGAGAACTCTCTTGGGATGCCTTTTTTCTGTCATGCAATCACGGAGAATCATTGGTGACTGAGTTCGACTTCACAGGATGTCACAACAGCTTTTCTGATGAATCTTTAGTTACTGGTTTGTCCAATAACTTGAATCTAGAGCTCAATGGCCTGACACAATGTATGTTTCCTGGAAGCATTGTGAATTGTCACCGAAAGATTGACGCACAGATGCAGTTATCCTTGATCCACCGCATGGATCCTATCCATCTCTCCGTCTGTTGAACTGTGCATCTGAACTTGATCATCTATTGTCAAATTTTCGTTGAACCTAGGTCTTAATATATTTCATAATAACTGTCTGGGAGAACAATGAACAGTGAAGCGCGCAAGGCTCATTAAAAACAGCAAGGGTATAGGCAACAGCTCCCCAGATTCCAGCTCAACAATGGACAACACCAATGATTACATTGCTAATACTACAGCTAACAGAGTGCCTCGTACGTTCCTGACATGGGGCACTTTGCTGAAGGCTGATATGATTGCAGTGACGGAGGCTCGAAGGAAATCTGCAGAAGCATTGGAAAAAGTAGACCAACTTGTTAAAGAGGCTACAGCATCAAGTAAGCACATGAATATTGTTCTGGATTTTTTTTGAGCTATCCTTCATATTGTATTTTGATCCCAATTTATTTGACCAGAATCCGGTAAGGACGAAGGCAACCGTACACGGAGAATCCTGGAGTACTTGCGGGATGGTATAAGATACGCAGAAAGCATTTCGACTGCCAACAATTTTGCAGAGGTCAGCAGTATTTCTTGTACTTCAAGTAGGAGAACAATTAATGGCTAGGTAATCCCTGCTTATGTAGGCAGCAGTAAGCCTCTTGCGAGTGAGTACAATAGAACACCAAAGCTACATGTGATCTTGCTAACTTTGGCCTTTTGCAATTCAGGTTATCATTGAACAGGAGATAAGTAGAAGACAAAATAATGAGCAAATTGTAGTTGCCTACTGTATGCTGGTGAGTGTTGGAGCTCTTGAATTTTTACTCATTGAACATACTATTAACATCAGTCTTCTGCTACATTCACCATCCGCTACATTGAGAGAAGCCACATAAATGAGGATTTAACCAGTGAGGTTGATACAGAGTACATCAAAATACATGCTATCATTGAACAATTTGGTGAGTATAAATCTGATTTTCGCTCACATGTTCTATTCCTCAATATATAACTGGAACAGGTGTCATTGCTACGTTAGTAGACATGAATATTCAATATGAGTGACTGCGTTTCTCACCTTTCCATCCCTAGAGCATATTATGCAACATCTAAACGACCTTTAGGTGAGTGCAAACTATGAATATTTTTGATTGCGGAATTCACATTCTTATAGTTGCATTTCTCAAAGCAAGTGAATTCAAAAGACAGATGATGACATCTATGGAAAACTGCAATGTCTGCCACACCAAGATCAGGGAGCTTCTCCAGCTTCATGTTACATCAACAGTTGAGAGCACTGCTAAGAATGTCTTATCAATCATATCGCGTCTTGATAGAGCAGAAACCCAAGATGACAAGAAAGCATGTAATATCCTTGTTAAATATGGAAAGGATGGACAATCAATAATTGGAGTACATTACTGCTAATCTCTGCCTCCGTCTGATGAATACTAATTGAAAACATGTAGAGTGATGGAGGTCTTCAAGAACTTGCAACACTTTTCAGTGAACATGTCACTGGAAAAACCAAACATATTCTACAGGAGGATATTGAAGAAATACTCACAGAATACAGGTCAGTGCTAATTTTATCACATTGTTGTATCACATTGACTGTGAATCAACAGGAATGATTTCCTCTCAAAGATGGAGTTTACACAACAGGATATAAATGAAAATGTACAGAGGCTCGGAAATGAGATTATGGCCCAAGTCTGTCTTGTTTTCTTTCAATGAAAGATTCAGCTGATGTCTGGGATTTTAGCTAACTTCAGGGCCCCATAATCTTATCAAGGACCCAATTTTCAGGAATGTTTGGTCAAGTATGTTTCCAGGATAACATGCCACTATCATCTGATGCTGACAAATTTTCTGGCAGGTCAAGTGAGTGAGCCTCAGTAGGGCGCATTGGCATCATGATTATCATTATATGATGCTCCATTGATTATATAGAAATGGAAGTCAAGTGTCAAGAGCAGAGTCTTTGTTGATGGTGATATTTCAAATACCCACATTGGACCCTTGAGACTCATTCAAACTTAGACATTTGCACCTGGGTTAGAGAGGATCCAGATGGCCATTTACAAGCTGATGACTGGACCATTCCAATTATATCTCAAGTTATGTGTAGGTGCAATCAATTTTTATTCCTACGTCAAGCTAGAAAATCACAAATCCTGAACAGATCATCCTGCCATCAGTGATGCAATTGATGAAGATGGGAGTGGATATGTTTCTGCCCATGAATTTAATTCATTCTTGATGCAAAAGCCCTCCCAATGGACCTTTCCAAAATGGCTTTTTTTTGTGAGTTTCAACTTATTCAGGACTACACACAGAAATGCTCAACATATTGTTCTTAGCTGGGCCATCGGATGGCAGGATACAATGTTCATGTAATTGATTTGTTTCACCTATAGAAAAATATTGATTGTTTTTCTTTCAAGCTCCTCTGACAGGATTTACAATATTTCAAAACAGCTTTGCATGGTGTCCAAAGCTGCAAAGTCAAAAGCAAAGCATGACCTACTCAAGGGAGATATCAGCAAATACATCGACAGTTTACAAGTTATTATTCCAAAATTGACTGACTGGTATAATATCACTGGTTATGAATATGAGAGACATTTTGGCCTGGAATCGGAGGCTGACACGCAGTTTCATTCCCTTGTTCAAGAGTATCAAGAATTGAACAAGCAGCTAGCTGAAAAGATCATACAGGATGGTGGCATACAGGATGGTGGCATACAGGATGGTGGCATCCTCTCGGATGCAGTGGACATTTCACCTCTCAAGCGCCGATTTAGAGACCGCATTGAAATGGTGAGTATCCACTTTCATGATTCAGCTACAAAATCAAAGCATCACAACTTCTAGTGGATTCTGCCTTTCTTGGAGAATATTCTCCTTCACCAATTTGAGGCCTTGGTGGGAAGACCATATGCCAATTATAATGCATATAACAATGGCAAAGGCTCAGATCAAGCAGATGAAGAAATTTCTGCTCCGACTGTGCAGTTTGACAATAAAACAGTTGAAGATATCCAATGGATGGACATGATTGATACTTTAAAGGAACTGTTCATTCAGTTCCACTTACGCATGCTATCCTTACTTCGTGGATGGAAGAAGCAAAAGATTAATTGCCAAGTAATGATTGACAGTTTTTCTGGCGGCCTTTTTGCTGGCTGGCATACAGCGGTACGTACTTATCACAACCTGCACTGTAGGTATCTGACACTATATCAACAACCTTTAAACAGTATATGGGTGATCGGAATTTCAAGCATATGATTGACATACTCATTCATATTGATAACTTGGACTCTGGAAATGAAACCCCCACTGATGATGTAGGAGGCAGTTATAAATAACCATGCACAGTAATTCTGACTAACATAATAGATATCAGTCCTCCAAAAATCAGTCACAGCTCTTCAAACTTCAGTTTATGAGATCCATACTTCTCTTGAGGAATTGACAAAAATGATAAGTTCAGTGCACTTGTCAAGTCCATGCCTCGGGCCTCCATTCCGCCGCTCGGTATTCCGAAGATCTACCTTTTATTGTAATCTCTTCCTTATTGTTCTTTCTCGCTACACATACCCTTTCACTCTAGTCCCTCCTTATTGTCTTTTACTTCACCCTGCAGGACTACACGTATAACTCCTAGTAGTTAGTCTGGCGCTCCGCCCCATTGCGCCGCTCCGTAGATATAAATACTGCCTGTACGCTACTGTAGTTCCTCAGTTTAATTATCAACTTAGATCAACTTAGATCTCCCTTCTCAACTTAGCTCCTCTCTAAGTCTTCAGGCTCAACGCCTTGAAGTACTCTCTCTATAGCCTTTGGACTTATAAGTTCTTTGGCCCGCTCCTCGTCACCGGCGATACCGCCGCTCCGACTTGGCTGCTTCTCAGTTCCTCCCTTCTCTACTCTCGATCTCCGGGGACTAACGGCGTAACGGCGGTGTTGTTAATAACTTCACTACTGTCCCACTCGTCTTCCGCACTTAGACACCCTGTGGCTCTGGCACGGTTACACGGTGTACATGATCTTAACAGTATAATTAAACTCAATCCGTTAACGTCGTACTGACATATCATTTTTTATGCCTCCGAAAACTCGAGCTCAATCTAGAGCTAACTCCGAAGAAAATACTTTCTTCACTACAGCCCAATCATTTGCCCCATTCTCCGACTCTATCTCTGCCATCGGTCAACCACGTCGCCGTAATCGCGGTTTCGGTCCAGCTACAGTCCCAACTACGTCGACTCTTCCTGAAGCCATGGAAGAGGAACAACAATTCGAATACAGCACCCTGTACACTGGGGACGGACAACCTGTCCAAGTCCTGACCCCTCGCCGTGGACAACCCCCCGTGGTCGCTCCGGCTCGGGGCCGTTCAACTACTCGTATTGATTCTCCAATCCTCCAAGCCATAGCCCGCCGTACGGGGAAACAACCCCAACGTCGCGCTGCTTCTGAATCTCCTCGTGACCCACCTCCTCACTTCGATTTGGACACCGGTGATCACGATGATCAAGACCCTCCTGTCGACCCCGACGATCCGGGCGCCGACAACAATCATGACGATCTGGATGACGATTCCGGCGGTTTACCGCGTGGTGAACCTGGTGACCCCAGTGGACCTGGTGGTCCTGGTGGACCTCGTTCCCCAATCTCTCCTGACATCCCCAACGAGCAACGAGCTATGTTGGAACTCCTCTCGGGGTTCAAGGGTTCCATTGAGACCCTTGGTACCGTCCTCGCCGCTCTCGGCCGTCCCTCTGACAGCTGTCATAAAGTACGCAGCCCCTATCATTTTCCTTTTCTCACCGTCTCGACGCCTTTACTTGTACGATACATCATCCCATCACTGTCAAACCCCCATCGATTACTGATCCACCTGACCCATCTTCTCCTTCTACTGGCTTCCGCCACCTTCCTTGTTCCTAAACTGTACAGTATTACATCGTTGTTTCTCGCAGACCGGATTATGTATATATAGCCAACCCTCCACAGCCTGGTCCCTTATCTTGACCTCTCTGTCATTATCTGGGACCAGGTATGTGCTTACTTATTATTACCTATGACTACGATACTCAATATATCTCTGTCATTATCTGGGACCAGCTTGCCGCCGTTCTGCTTAGTCGCTCCGCCTTGTTGCCTTGTACAGTCGCTCCGCCTCGCCGTTCTGCTTAGTCGCTCCGCTTTCCCGCTCCGTTAGTCACTCTGCCTCTGCCGCTTTGTGACATTAGGTCAAGATCCATTACTGCACTGACAGCCTACCGATAAGGTTGTCCTTGCAGGGTCTATAGACACCACGTCTTCCCCAGTTCCGCCCGACTCTGAAACACCTGTTGCCAGTATAGACTGCTCCGCACTCCCGCACGCACTTGACCCCAGAGACCAAGCTCACGCCCATAACAACGACGATACTTGGCGCGATTGCCAGTCTCAACCTTGCCCCAACGCCCTTTCGAACTCAATCCGAGAGCCACTCACTGTGAGCAATATAACCTTCCTGCCGATTCCCCAGCCCCGATTGCCTACTCCCATCATGTCGACTCCTATCCCGCCTGCCCCAAACACCTCTGCGGAGGATCTCATGGCTCAGCTCATCAGACAAGTAGCTAACCTTGCTACAGCTATGGAGGAACGCTCATCCTCTAAGTCAAGCATGAACAAACCCGAGGTTTTCAAGGGTAAAGACGGCGCTGAAGCCCGTCGCTTCATGGCTCAGTTCCAGAATTGGGCGTCAGAACAACCGGATCTCGCCAAAAGCCAAGTAAAACTCATCAAGTCCGCCTTGGGCTTCTTCACAGAAAGTGCCGGAGATTGGGCAACTCCCCATCTGCTACATTTCAATGCGGAAAATCCCCCTTTCGGAGGAAATTGGGAGGCGTTTCTGAAGGAATTTAGCCAACGGTTTGAACCAATGGACCCAGGTATGGAAGCCCGTAGCGAGATCAAGAATCTCAGGCAAAGTAAAGGACAGACAGTTGCGGAATTTGCTCAGAAGTTCAAGGATATCGGAGATCGGACTGAAATGTCTGATATTGACTTGCGGGAACGTTTCTTCACTGCATTACTCCCAGAGATCCGACAACACCTCATCACCGTAAACATTGCCCAAGGAATTGCTCCGACTCTGAAGGAGGCAATCAAACGGGCCATATCGGTGGATGTCTACCTGCACGATCCCACCATGACTGGCCGGAACTCTGGATACCCTCCCACGCATACCGCTCATACTACCCCTGCTGACCCCCACGCTATGGACATTGATGCAACCCACACCAGTAATGGGAATACTAAGGAAGCATTCCTAGCTCGCATGCGAGGACGATGCTTCGGCTGCGGTGCCCAAGGTCATGTCAAGCAAAACTGCCCACACCGAGAAACCACCTGCCGCTACTGTGGACGTCGAGGACATCTGGAAGCAGTCTGCCAAGACAAATTCATGGGACTCGGACGAGACCGAGGCCGACGCCAACAGATATCCGCTACGGGACCCGCGCCATTCTCCCTATTCCCAAACGAATCCGTCCAAATCGCGTCCTCGACCCCAACATCTGCTCCTGCACCCGTAGCTGCTACTCCGAGCCCCCCTAACCAGGACTTTTCCAATCAGATTGGTCAAATAAGGGAATTACTTGATCGTGCTAACGCTATGTCCTCCTCGTCCTCTGGCTTTCAACAGGGTTTTTAAAGAGGGTACCCGCTTCGGCTGCACCGAGAGTACCCCGTAATCAGTTTGTTATGTTCGCTACTTCCTCGTATGACTCGCACCCATCATGTACAATATCGTCGATCCGGGAATTAAACTCTACTTCCCCACATTTCCGAATTCATGCGAGACTAAGAGGAAGGAATCACAGTATAACAACTGCAGCCATGGTAGACTGTGGAGCTACCGCCCTGTTTTTAAACCAAGATTTTGTCACCCGGAACCATGTAAGATGTGCACCCCTCCATAAACCAATCGACGTTTTTAATATCGATGGAACACCTAACCGAGCTGGACGGATTACCCATTTTGCACGTCTAGCACTCACAGTGGATAATCAAGAGCGATGGATGGACTTTCTGATCACCAACCTAGGAGGTGAAGACATCATCCTTGGACTCCCCTGGCTACGGAAGGTAAATCCGGAGATTGATTGGGAGAAAGGACGACTTTCAGTAAAGCCTCCTCGAGTAACGATAGAAGAAGTCCCAGACGAGGAGATCTTGTACTCTCATCTAGCCGCCACTCACACAGAAACCCCGATCCTCGAACTCCCGGAACTGGAACCTCCCGCAGAAAACCCCCACATTGAGGTGCCACTAGAAACGACCCTTGAACCTAGTGAATCAGCAGCGGTGGAAGAACCACCAATACACCGAATTCGAGCCAATCATAAAACTCGCCGGGCATGGGTAAAAGCAGGAATTCTAGAGGAACAGACGGAGGAAGTCTGGTGCGCCGCAGGATTCACTTACTCCCAGCAGCTAGCAGAGGAAGCCAACCGAGACAAACCCGTTAAAACCTTCGAAGAAATGGTCCCTGAGCAGTATCGTGATTTCAAGAAGGTTTTCTCAGAATCCGCCTCCGAACGATTACCTGCCCACCAACCTTGGGACCATGCAATTGATCTCGTACCTGGAGCACCGGCAACCATGCGTACCAAGATTTATCCCATGTCCCTAAACGAGCAGGAGGAGTTGGATCGTTTCCTAGAAGAAAACCTACAGAAAGGCTATATCGTCCCCTCAAAATCACCAATCTCATCACCGGTCTTCTTCGTAAAGAAGAAGGATGGGAAACTCCGTTTCGTACAAGACTACCGGAAACTGAACGAGTACACTGTGAAGAACCGATACCCGCTCCCATTAGTTGCTGACATCATTAGCCGACTTCAGGGAGCCAGATACTTCACGAAGTTTGATGTCCGCTGGGGTTACAATAACATACGGATTAAGAAGGGGCATGAATGGAAAGGCGCGTTCGCAACAACCCGAGGCTTGTTCGAGCCTAAGGTCATGTTCTTTGGTCTCACAAATTCCCCTGCCACGTTCCAAGCACTTATGAATGCTATATTTGCTGATCTCATTGCAGCCGGCAAGGTGGCAGTCTACCTAGATGACATCCTTATCTTCAGTAACGATCTCGAGGAACACCGACGAATGGTACGGGAAGTATTAACTCGGTTAGAAAAGCACGACCTCTACCTACGACCCGAAAAATGCGAATTTGAACAACAACAGATTGAATACCTCGGACTCATCATCTCAGAAGGGGAGGTGAGAATGGATCCGGTAAAAGTAGCGGCTGTTCGTGACTGGCCAGTCCCTACTAACCTTCGGGAACTACGAGGGTTCTTGG